GAGTCTGAAACATAAAGAAAAAACATAAATAGGCTGTCAAACATAAAATATGTTATATATGGTAATTTTATATTAACTTCCAAGCCGGTCTATGTTACCCCGTCAGGGCTGACATTAGGTGGTCTAACCCCCATTTGGGGGTGGCGCCCTCCATTTGCAAACTATGACACATTCCTAAAATTTGCATATGTAACTAGAAGAGTTCTATTACAATACATCTTAACCTGGAGTTATTTAACCAAAAAATTAAAGAATTGGAGGGGGTACTCTGACAGGCTTTAAATAATAGCTTTTTTTTGTGAGTCACATTTTTAATTTTTTAACCTATTAGATATGCAAACTTTTTAAATCTTTCTATTGTGTTATGTAGCCTCAGTATTAGGCCCTTAATGCTCATTGACAAAATTTCTCCTTGTCAAATAGTTTTTGCGTTTTGGGGGTTTTTGTTAAAAAAATGAAAAGTGGTCCAAGTTACCCTGCCGGTCTAAGTTACCCCATTTTATGGTTTAGTCTTGAATCCAAGCCACCTTGAATGCCTATTTCGAGGCGTTCGGGACTTTGCCGCGCTCTACTGAACATTCACACTTATTGTCACTGCAAACCTATCTCCTCCTATAGTTTTTAAGCTACAGCAATGAGAAATATACCGTTCAATTTGCAAATAAAAGATCTAGAGATTGGTCATAGCTTTTTTTTCAATTTCATTATAGTTATGAAAATATTTTGAAAAAAATGAGGGGAAATTTAAAAGGGTGGGAGGAGAAATCAAATTTTTTTGAAAAATGCCCACCCCACCCACAAAAATCAGAATTTCAAAAAACAGCAAGGACCAATTGATAGATATGGTCCTTACGCATTGAATGATATGCGTCTCAATGTTGTAGCTTGAAAATCCTAGGAGGAGATAGATTTCTACAGTACCCCCTTTTTGGCAGTTTTCTAAGAATTTCACGTTTTCTTTCTCTTTTTTCCACACTAACAAAAAAGTCTTTGATTTATCTTTTACATATGTGAATCAAGTTTCAAAGTGATCCGTCCATAAATAACCGAAATAAAATTTCCACAAGAAATTGAAAATTGCCATTGGAAATTGGAAATTTTATTTTGGTTATTTACAGACAGATAACTTTGAAACTTGGTACACATATGTATAAAATAAATCTAAGACTTTTTTATTCATGTGAATTTTTCCCCTAGGTTTCCCTGGAAATAACTGTTAATAATAAGGTTCCAAGTGAAAATATTGAATAGGTATTCTAAGGGGAACATTATTTCTAACAGTTATAGGGTATTTATGTAAATGTTTAAATGTTATTGAGATTTAAATGTTCATATGTCAGGTTGTCCACAGCCACATCCCATACTTGCAGTAGCAGTTCAGTTACTACATCACTTTCTGTGACATCATTGTTGTACACCTATACTGTAAAAGCTCTTCAGGCATCCCCTGAGGCAGTCACAGACCAGTTGCTAACCAACATCTTTTAGCTGCACTAGCAGCCAGCTTCTATTGGCATTTACTTAAGACAACTCCAGCAAAAGTGTCTATCAAAACAGTGTTGATATTGCTACCTGATAGATTCCTGTAAAAGTACTTTATTGTGTCTAACTTTAAATAAGTAATACTTGAGAGTTCAACTCTCTTTATTCATCCTTCTTGTATTATTAGGACATTATCTAGAACCTATTGAACCTCTGTGATAAATTCCGAATTCAATTATGTAAATTGTTAATCAGCAAATGTCATAGAAATGTCATCATTAACTTGTGCTCCCTACAAGATCCAGACTCAAGTGTCATAGACAGAATAAGCTAAGCCAAGATTGGGAAATTTTTTATTGCTCAAATCTAGTGGCTCCAAAGCATAGTGGCAAATGAAGGCTTTTTTGACTCAGTTCACTCAATTTCCAGATTTAGTTCAAAATTTTCATCTGCTTCACATGGGAGCAAATATTGCAATAGGAGGTAATGAATCTTGCAGCATCAAAAATGGTGGGAGGCTCTAGTTGTGGCTCAGAGGGTATATTGCATGCCGGGAGGGGAGTTGCTTAAGGGCAAGTCAATGGGCTCAATGCCCAATTTCTCAATTACTGCACATCAGGGTTGGCAATCCTTAGTTTCCTTACTATTTGTTTGGGACATAGCAGTCCCAGGCCACAATGGATTGCCACCTCTGATTTTCGTTCATCCGGCCTCATCTGGGCCACCTGATGCATGATGCTGTTGCTTGCTTCTCGCCACTGGTAGTGTTGCAGGGGAAATCAATCTGGGATTGGGCCCAGGAACACGTCCAGTTGTCTCTTGAAGGTCTCCAGGGTGAACTCCCCCTCTCTTAGATCCATTGGTAGGACATTGAACAACCTGGGCCCTGCCACGGAAAGTGATCCTTCCCACAGGGATTGAAATCTGACTGCAGATCTGTTATGTAGTGGGGGGATCTTCGATTATTTAAAAAAAAAATCACCAACCCTGCTACACATGAATTACGCAACACTGCTTCACTCCTAGTAGTAAGGTTTTCTTGAAGTTAATATGAGGGACCAGACTTTATTTTTTAAGCCTTCTAGTTTCTTGCCTTTCAAAAATTATATTTGGAAAGACACTTATTTTACCATCTACAACATGGAAAACATTCTGAAACTGTACCTATATTGGGAGCCGTAAGTTTGTCAATCTTTGAGCCAAGTCCAGTTCTATAGCCATGAATTATTTTTTTTAAGCAATGGAAAGCCATTTTTGAGCAATAAGCATATTTACTGAGTCATGCATGCCGAATCCTTAATAATTTTACACTGGAAACAGTAGCAAGAACATTTTCTTCATTTTAGAGGTGATAAGCCCTTGACATTTTTTCTTTACATTTTCATCAATCCTTGCTGCTGTCATGTTACAGCAATGTCACAAAAATGCAATTTTGATAGATCTTTACCAGAAAAAATGGCACAAGTTATATTACCTGTAGAATGAAAAATATTTATGTGAAATTGGAGAATTCATATAAAATTAATGGCTTAGTAAATGAGTTTTTGGCTGAAAAAGTGCTTTTCATGGCTTTGAAAACAGATTAATGGATCATTAACTGAATTGGCAGCTTGATACTTTCATTTCTGTCAGGGTTGCAAAATTAATAAAAAAAATATAAAATTGGAGAGTTATTAACTCTGAGCCCTTGATGCCATGCAGATCAGAATTTAATATATGTGATTTGCTCATTGATTGTAGTGCATTGTTCTCTTTATTGTTTGCAATTGATCACATCGAGTATATATTTTTACCTATGCAGAACTAGCCTAGACTTCAAGTATGGCTAAACATTAAGGAAACTGATCATTGCAATGGCTATGCTGATATAGTATTGTGATGGATGGGCCCTGGTATGAAAAATATATTTGTATTTTTCTACCTGAAATAGCATTTTTGGTGCCTCAAAATTATAAATTTTACAGCTGTAAGAATTTTTTTTAGCTGTGAAAAATTTTTTCCAGCCAGGATTTAAAATTTCCTAGCTGCAAATTTATTGCTAAGTTATGACCATTATATATGTATTACTGTTGAGGCTACTTTAACTGTGATACGAGTTCAGAAATTATTTTAGTTGAAAGAAATTTCTAGATTTGATATGTAATAATCTAACATGGATGCAAAGTTGGAGAACATTTTGATATCCACAATTCTTATATAATCATAACTCAGCTTGTGTTGAAGCTTGTTAATATAAACTTGTGCTAGGAATATATCCACAGATTGAAGTGAATCATCCATTGATCCATCATTTCTCTTGCAGTGGCCCTGGTGGGAATACTGTGGATGGCTGGACATCATTGGAAAATCCCAAAGCAAAGATGGCCCCCATAAGCGACAAAGTAAAGAAAAGCTGTGGGCGCACCCCAGGAGGCAGAAATATATTTCTGGTCAACAATGGTCAAACTATAAGGATGCAGGGAACTCAGCCTCCTGCTGTGCCATCCAAACTGGATGAAGCTGCTTCATTTCCATCAACCAAAGGAAGAAAAGTCAAGAAATATTGGAGGAAACCTACAAAAATGTTGCATCAGAAACCCTCCAGAGGGCATAAATTTTATGGAGTTTCATCTTCAAAGAAATTAAATTCAAAATATGGTAATGCATCACGGGGGGTTGATGAACAAGGAGGCAATGAAAGTGATGTAATTCATGAAGATGTTGGAGTCACTATTGAGAGCATTAATGAGTTGGGAGAATTTGTTGAGGATGGCATTACAATGAAGGTTGTGGATAACTGCACTCTTGATATCAATGCTGAGCAGATGTCTGCCGATGAAAGCTTTAATGCAGCAAATATTGCTGGAAAGAAATCCAAGAATGGAAATTGTGTTACAGAAAATGTCTGCAGTGATGATGACATCTCTAATACTGACCAACCTCAAATTGCTGAAGATTATGCATCTGAAGAGGAAGTATCACAACATGGAACCTTCATGAAGCAGGAAGTACTTGATGCCTCACAAGAATTATTTTTTGCTGAGCCTGAATGTCAACTTTTGATAAAGGTTTGTATAGTCTCGTGTAATATTATCTCACATGCCTTTGAAACCGACATGATTTTGATAGGAATATATTGTTTATATTTTCTTTTTATTTCCTGACATATCTTGACATTTAACTTATGTAGGAATTGAGTGTTTTTTTTTTCAATTGGAACTGTAACAGTGAAATTTCCCCCTATATTTTTTTATATAGATTCTCTCTGCTCGAACCACTTTTCACTATTTAACATGTTTACAGAAAGAGTGGATTCCCCAAGAAGGAGAGGAACAAGAGGTAACAGCAACCACTTCACAGCCCTACTCATCACCCTCCATGTTTGCAGAGACAATTGTCAAGCAAGAACATACATTGGAAGAAGAACAATTAGTTGAAGATTCTGACAATAATTCTTTACAGCTCATCCATCTTTATGTAGGAGATAACGGGCTAGTGGAAGATGCACCTGCTAGTGAGCCTGCTGGCCAACTGCTGCAGTCTCCTCAATTCCTTCTAGATGACCAGAAGCTGACACTCTCGCCTGTGACGTTCTTGTCTGCAGGCACAGCTCACAATTCTACAGCATCATCTCAAAGTTGTGCTCTGCTGCCTCGTGATCCTACTGCATCATCTCAACTTAATTCTGTGTTAGCTCATGCTGATATTGAATCCGCAATAAGTATGGACGATTTCAACGCCTTGAAGAAACTGAATGGAGCCTCCCTTTCTAATTCAGCACTGTCATTACATATGCCATGTCCAGAGATGCCCATGGAAGTAGCGTCTTCAGCTACTGTTACTACACATGTTAGTTCAGCTTCCAAGACCTCTGTGCCATCTACTTGTAAAACTGTTATTAGTAATTCATCTTATACTTCTGGCGACTCAGCTATACCTAGCTCATCAACTGTGATTACAAATTCTAAAATCAGCTTAGCTTCTCATCCAAAACCAGCTAGGAAAATTACAATTCGTTCAATCCAGCGAACACCAACATCTAATGAAACTGCCTCAAAGCTCTTTGTGTCCAGAGAAGTCAAGTCTTCAGTTGCCTCCAAAATGTGCCAAACAAATGAGACTGGCTCTCAAAGCAGCGTAGCCAAAGCCATCAATGTAATGCCTCCAACTCTTGAATCTATTGACGGACCTGCTTTGGAAGGCTCTACAAAGAGGCTGGATATGACAAAAGACCATATCAAAACTGCAGGACAGCATTCTGTTCCCAAGGTTTCAATGGTAATTTTCGTGTATTGATACGTGATCACAAGGAAATTAATTTATAAGTACATAATTAGAATTTGTATCTTTGAATGGTTGTGTAAATACTGAGAATATCGGGCTTACATGGAAACATAATTATTTAGGGTAGAATGAATAGCCATGAGTTACCATTATTGCACAAATAGAGCTGCATGCTTATGGTATGATTTGAAAATTGCTTTCCACTTAAATTCGTCTGATTTTTTGGTGTTGGTGTACAATGATGGCAGAACATTGTAATATTACAATATTGTTATTAATTCATTTGCAGATACCCAATACTCGCCAGGATCGACATGGCAATGCTTCTCGCGGTCAATCGGGCCGTGGTTATACAAAGGTAGACAAGGAAGACCCGCGCAGCCGTTTGCACTATGTCAAGTACATGAAGAAAGACGGCAAGACTATCAAGAAGTGGGAGTGTGGCATGTGTGAGTACCATTATGTATGAAGAAAGACGGCAAGACCATCAAGAAGTGGGAGTGTGGCATGTGTGAGTACCATTATGCATGAAGGAAAACTGCAAGACCATCAAAAAGTGGGAATGTGGCATGTGTGAGTACCATCAAGGCAAAAAGTCAGACTTTAAGATCACCCTCCACAAAAAATGAGGCCCATGTGAGTATTGTTGGTACATGAGGAATTGGAAAATCGCGTTATCTTTGTATTCATGACCATTTTCCTGCAGGTGGCCGGGAGTTCATCCACCAGTATACTCTGATGCGGCATCTTCCCACTCACACTGATGAACGAAACTTCCATTGTGATGAATGTGGCAAATCTTTTCGTCAGATGAGCACCTTATCGCAACACAGGTCAACTCACTCACAGTTCCGGCCATACGTTTGTGATGTTTGCCAAAAAACCTTCACTCGCGTTTCAACTCTTATCTCTCACAAGAAACTGCATGATGGTGTCAAGCCACATGTATGTCATGTCTGTGGCAAGGCTTTTCATCAGAAAGGTAATTTGAAAAACCACATGTTTATCCACACCAACGAGAGACCTTACAAGTGTCACCAATGTGGTCGAGGCTTTAACCAAGCATCCAACCTTCACTCTCACAAAATTCGGGCGCACAGTGATAACAGTCCTTTAGTTTTATCACCTGCTGAGCTAGCTCGTGTCCAGTCTTTGTCAGACTCAATTGCATCAACACTAGGTCATCAAAACCCAGAACCTCCTCCTCCCCCTCTTCAGTGTCCTCAGTGTCCCCTAACATTCGGCAACAGAGCAACAATGAAACGTCATGAGATATCAGCGCACTCAAAGTATCAACAACTTATGCCAAAGAAGCCAGGAAGAATGTCTTCTATGACCACATCAAGCAATGTCACCAGTGCTAAGCGATGCAAAGTTGGTAGCGTGCGCATGGTGGAAGTCCCTGGTGGAGATGAGGCCTTCCAGCAGTTGTTGCAGGGCGGACGCTCATCTGATCAAACAGATCAATTTTTGGCAGATGATCTCACGTCTGTGCTCCGTCTTTCTCGCCCTGCTCGCTCAGGTTTACTCATTCCAGCAATCCGCACAGCCGCTCTGGCATCTGTAGTAGCGTCAGGTAAAACTCCCTTTGCTTTATTAAAGCCTGCGGTTTCAGCACCTGTCGTTGTGCGGGTGGCGCTGATCTCTCAGACTCAACACGCTCTCCTTCCTGCCACTGCCGCACAGCTTCGAGAGGCAAGTCAGTTCAGCGTGGCTGGCCGAGGCGTTTCTACTAAAGCTGTTCAAATCAAAATTCCTGTTGTGGCAACCGTAGTAGAAAAGCTTTCAGCTTCGGGAGAAGCTTCAATTGAAATTTTAGCGCCTGACAATGAAGTGCCATCACCATCTGTGAAACCTAAAGTAGAAGCCTCAGTGTCGTCCACGTCTGTGAGGTCAAACGTCCGCACGCTAATCGCAGCACCTAACAACAGCAACCTGCTTGCTAATGTGCGTGCGAGCATCAACACCATCACACCAAGAGTCGTACCTACAAGCCATGCCACTCAAATGACTAGAGAATACGTCGGTGTAGACGCTGCTGAGCTGCCATCTGGAGTTCTCACTTCCCAACTTGGCTCTCAAGATTTAGTTATTGAGCCTGATATGATGGTCGAGTGAGTTTCGTTATGTCGTAACTTTATGAACGTTATACTCTTAGTGGTTAGTTTTTTTTGCATGCAGTCAGAAAAATGTATTTCATAACTTTTGCCGTACAATACTGGTGAGAAAGGAGGATGTCTGATTATTTGAATTTTTTTGTTAACCAACGGCTTAGGACAGATATGTAGTCTTGGTTTTTTAGTACTTGCTTCTTGATAATGAACTAAATAATTTAATGTCATGTAATAATAACGGTGCCTTGTTTAATTGACATCTCTAATTCTCATTCTTATTCCGCCTGTTAAAAACATATAAGCATAATCTAGGATAATAAACGTACAATAACGATACAATTACCCTCACTGCAGGAGTGTGGGAGACGTAGTGCTGGAGAACTCTGAGGATGTTTGTTCGTCGTCTGTCCCGGAGCTGTTGGAGGAGGGGCAGCTGGTGCTGGAGGCGTACGCCGGCGAGGGAGGCTCGAGTAACGACCTCGTGCAGTACCAGCACCAGCAGGAGCACCACGTCCATCTACTTGACTTGGTCAATGACCAACACCAGCAGTTGTCTGGTAAGTCTTGGTGTCATTTCCCTCTATCCAACTGGAAATTTTCTATTATCTAAATGCATAATTTTTTTCTCAAGTTCAGCGCAACAATTTTTTGATACATTTTTTTGATTGTGGATTTGAAAATTTGTCAATGAATGCCTTGCAGAGCCTGGCGTGCGCTACCTGTGTGCTACAGGCACTCCTGGGGAGTTCGAGATGGTCGCTCCTGACGACCCCAGGCTCTCCCACATCGTCGACCACCTCGGCCGCCTCCAGCCTGTCACCCAGCAGCATCAGGTGCGTCGCCAGGTTCATGCACTGTTCGATCAATAGTGGAAAACTGTCTGAACAGCGTTTTTATGACCGACCGTCCCGTGAAGTAGGAGCGCAATTGTTCGGATTTAAGATGTTGATGTCCAAAGGAACTGCAACTTGTTTGATTTCACGAGCCGGTGAGCCAGTGAAAAGCTGGTGAGAAAGCGTTTCGCCGTTTTTTGAATAGTGGACCTAAATAAATCGCTTTTAGCTATGCAGCGATCCCGTAATGGGCTTAGAACTACTCTTGGCTTTATAGCTCTGAAAAACTGACCTTTCACCTCTCACGCCTTGTCGCCACTAACAGAATGCTCAATTACAAAAAAAAAAAAAAAATCTAAATGAAAATTTTCTTAGCATCGCTAATTATCACTTGAGAATTATTAGTTTCTTTTTCTTGACTTTATGAAAAGTAATAAACTATTATTTCCAACAAGTTTATCAATAAATATAAAAAATGTTTGTGATACAAGCATATTTTCATATTCATACTGTATGTGATAGGAGCATATTTTTATAGTATATTGACTCGGTCTTTTCAGTTTAAATTTATTTGTTCTTTGTTGAAATTTAATTGTTACTAATCGGCAGATTGTGAGCGAAGAATCGGCTGACGTTGGCAGTGCTCTAGCCTCCCTGACGTCAGCCGGCCATGAGGACCCCACCTCGCTGACTGCAGAGGGTGGAGACGAAGGAGCGCAGTTCTCGCTGTCCAATGTTAACAACTCCTGCAGGATAACACTCACTGACAGCGGCAGCCTCACCATCGAGAGCGCCGGTTGGCACCTATATTTCGTCTATTAAAATTCTCCCATATTCGGTCTTTTTTAATTCTTCCATATTCGGTCTATTTCAATATATTTCGTTTATTCCAATTCTCCCATATTTGGTTTATTTCAATTCTTCTGTATTCGGTCTATTTCAATTATTCTATATTCAGGCTATTTTAATTTTTCTGTATTCGGTCTATTTAAATTCTTCTATGTTCAGTCTATTTCAATTCTCAATGATCGTACGTGATTTTAATTTGTCATTGAAGAGATTCGATATGATTTTCGAATTGATGGAATTTTTGGCATAATTTCTTCATTATTGAATTTTAGTTTTGTGAATAATTAGGCAAACTTTGTTTAGAATCATGAAGGAATAGGATGAATACTATTCATGAGTAAATGTAATCAAACTTGTAATGGCTTTTCTTTCAGGAGGTTCTGTTTCTGTTGGTGGTGACGGAACGTCGATGGCCGTCGAGAACATCGCTGCTATCATCGGCGCTCTGCAGCGCGCAGGCTTACCTGTTCAGCTCCAGTCCAACACTAGCGCTGATCCAGCCTCACACAGCCACATGGATGTGGCGGATGATTTAGCAATTGGAGATGAAGGAAGCTCTAGTGCCGCCGGCCGTGAGGCTGACTGCAGCCACATGGCTGTAGACGAGGATGACAGCCACATGGCTGTGGATGAGAACGTGGCTGATCAAAATTTCCTGCCCTCCAGTGCGGTGCCGGAGCTCGTCGAGGATGCTGCGCATGCTATGCTCATGGCCGAAGAAAGCGTCATCACGCATCCAGTAAGAATTGTTATTAATATAGCTTTTTATGCTAAATGTATCCATCGAGCTGAAATTTTTCATTACGTAGGTGTTGATATTGAAGTGTAGACCTGTGCGACTGAGGAACTTGACTTTTTACGACTCGTAATGTATTTAGTGCAAATACTTGATGATGGTAACAAGGTTACAGGTTAGTAGATCTAATTATTCTTCATAATGACTTTAACCAACAAAATTTTGCGCTGAGGTGAATCTCTTGGAAATGTTTATTTCCGCAGGACCTGGGGCCGGACGATCAACACGACGTGTAGCGTACATCTGTGAACTCTCCAACGAGTCGTGGCCGTACCTAATGTTGAATTTGTTATTTGCATTGATACACTCAATATTATGTTATTTTCTCCTCTGTTTACCAAGTATCTGTCATTAAAATTGAAAAATAATTGCTTGAGTCATATGTCAAAGCGACTACCGTCAATAATGAGGTTTTCTTTTAACGTCATTTTTATTAAGGTAATAGTTGCGTTAGGTACGTTTCCTCGTGACAGTTTTGAGTGATCATATTTGTAATTACTTCATGATCCATTATTCCTTTCTCTACTAACACAACGACGGCTAATTGCTCCATTAGTCATTTTGTTTTTGCTTCTTACTGAGTAAATTAATAAGAGCTCTAAAGGGTTCAACCATTCATGGAAAAAATTTCCAACAAATGCTTGACTTGAACAACGCATTACAGGAAGCGCAGTGGGGGGCGATAACTTGGCCATCCCCGGAAATATTATTCGTTTTTTTTTTTCTTGCTTAGGTCGAACGTATGTCGTTTCACTAGGAAAGTCGCAGTTACCTTGAGGCTACTGAGGCGTGATTAAATGTCTTTTTAATGCTGGGAAATATTATTTTACGAACGGCCTGAAATTATTATATAAAAATTAGATTTGGTACTGAAATTCAATATGACTTTGCAGATTAAATCCTGTCATGCTATAAGTAATTGTTTGTACTAAATCCGAGTGGCTGAGTGTGGACATATAGTGAGTGGCATCGTGCGGTGGCCTGCCGTTAATTTAATGGCAAATCGCACAATTTTTTTCTGCTTTATGGTTGAGGCCTACATTTGCCGCCAGGGTTTGAAGGCTGAAAAGACTGATGGCACACATTGTTACTTTTAAAGACGAGAACAATCCGTGGGATAAAACTGGGCTAAAAAAACTACTTATTCCGGGTTAAAGTTATTGAAAATAACGAAGTTTAATGTCCTAAAATGTGTGCTGCATATTAAGTTAGCAATGCAACGGACACATTAATGAAGAATTCGCTTACATTCCCAATGGCTTATTTTCGAGTCAAATTCTCCATGGCAACGAATTATTATAAAAATATAATGATTTTGATGCAAGACTAAACTTTATTCATGCTGTATATGTGTATTAATGTCGCAAAATTAGTTATTGATGACATCAAGGGTCCATGCAATGAAGTATCTTCCCTTTAAGTTGGCAGGACATCGTTATGTTCGTTTATGGTGTGATGATGTTCCAATATTTTCATTCAATGCATCCCACAAATCTCATTTCAAACATTGGATTTTCAATGGGGCAATTTATGTCTTATATGGGGCCAGGGGCCATTAAGATCATTTACCAGTCATTTTCTGCTGTTGCGAGTCGAAATGTTCATTTATATTGCCTTCTTTTTCTTTACGTTTGGCAATTTTGGAAGAATTTTTGAAAAATTATCGGAATAAGTTCATTGTGGCTTAGAATTTTATTTCATAGTACTCGGTTCGTGTACTGAATAGTTTGTCTATATTTTATGAGCGATTTCGTCGAAATTTTTGCAGGAACTCGAGCCACAGAATGCTCGTTGATGCATCAACACGTATCTCATCAGTAAGGATTAGCATTAAAATGCACTATTTACGAAAAAACTCGAATAATTCTATATAAATATTTTCCATCAGTAGGTATAACATAACCGTTCCATATGTAACAACCTCAGTAATGTACCAAGTTTACAGGCAAGTCGTTCGGGCCAGCATCTCGCGACAAACCGTTATGCCTTTAACGATATTCCTACCTGCATCTCTTGCTGACTTTTCAACGAACAGCTCTTGACCGTTGTTCAGCGTCGTATATTTAACGTTTAAACTAATGCTGTCCCTACCTGGATTATAGATCTATCATTCTAATGCTGCTTTTAACGTAATAAGCGGACGGTGAAAAGTTTTCAACTATCAGTGCTGTTTCGTGCACATTTCGTGCTTTAAAACTCGCATAATGTAATAGTTAGCGGCCGATTTATCCAATGTTATTGGTGTGCTCAACATAAAAAGCCGTCAGTAATTGGCTGACGAATTCGTATTTATCTATGATAATACGTACAGCATCTGTTCGTCACGTCTATGATCGTGAGGAAGTTAATTAAAATATATATATATATCCGTTTGCGCCTTGCTGTACGGAATAATGTATTGTCTTTACACTTTTTTTTTTCTGCCTCGTATGGGTTGTCAGTGACGAACTTTATTTTTTGACTTTAACTTTATTTTTTTTGCTCGTATTTTCTGTTTTGATTTTATAATTAACTTTCAGCTGAAATGGAAGATTCTTGATTATAGTGAGTAATACTTTAATAATTTATGTTCGGCAATGTCTAATTGTTATCTAAAGGCTTGCGTTAGAAGCGTAGGAGATGTCGATCTCTATAAATCTATATAAATCAATTCGATCTTTCTCATGTACGTCAACCGCCGCGTCTGCCTGTGATATTATAACGTAGATCTTCTATTTTCATAGTTTTGAGCTTCAATATCGTGTAGCAAGACACCTTTACTTGAAAGGTTGTTTCTTGATTGATTTGATGAACGAATGCTGCTTGTGACCAGCAATATTATACATGTTATGTGTAATGTGATGTCAAATACACTGCTAGAATATACAGTAGTCTTATTTTCGACACACGTCAAACCTTCGTTGGGAACATTACTTTGGTGAGAGAGCGCCGTAAGTTCTGAAGTAACAATTTATAATTATTTATAAAGTCGCAATAATTAAATAATTTATAAAAAAAAATAATTTGAAGTAAGTACTCAGGGCTTTGTGATTGTGTGAATAATTAATCAACAAAATGCTGAGCGGCTTTACGCCTGAGTGATAACGAACCGAGTGTTATCCCGATGCTGTCAAAATACCGGTATTGACGTATATATCTCCTTGTCTAGTGATGGATGCCGTTTAGTACGTATCAGAATGGGCAAGAATCGCCGCACCGACCACTGCATGATGTTCAGGCTGTGTTTGAGAACAAACAAAAATACGACCTTTATTTTCATGAGCAGTTATACTATCGATTTAACAACACTGCGTTTCAGGTCTTCAGTTGCGAGATTCACACATTAAGTTTCTTCGACGAAATCCTGTTGAAGGAATCTTGAACGTGGCGGATTTCCCCATGCTGCTACTGCTAGTGTCCTATGCCCGTAATCGCCTACAAAAATTCAATTCCCATCTTATTCATGAAGATATGATATAATTTTTTATTCTCCAGGTTAAATTTTTTCTTCAAAAAATTCCACTATTTTCAAGCAATACAAACTACATATTTCATCCTAAACATTTTCGGCTTTCCTTGTTCAGCAGTAGACAATTTTTCTTATTTTAAAACTCATGTACAAAGTAAACAACTAAAGCTTAGCCGTACAAACAGCTGTCTTACTGTTACTCACGTCCGTCTAATGGATCCTGATGTTCAAAGAACCTATTATCATCACAAGAAGGACTGTTGCACTGTCTAAGAGCAGAGAAAAAATAAGGATAAAAAAAGGATACGTTCTAGTGAGCGAAAAAAGATTTTCACTGATCCGCTTGCATACTTGGAGTCGCCCTCTCCTCTCTGCATTGTCAATTCATGGTCAGTAATTTTCTGATGGTTGCCGCCACGTACGACTTTTAAATATTCTCTTTTGCTTACAAACGTCCTCAGGTTGCTACAAACAATAGTTTACGTATAAATTGCATGTTCCCGGAGAATGACATACGGCGGTAGAGGGTTAGGTGGGTGTTTCGTCTCCTACATGTTGGTTATGATGCTCTTAACTCTTAAGGGTAAGCTTCATCTCCATGTCGTCCGCCGTCTATGCGCCGTCTTGTCGGGACCGCTCCTCGTGCTCACTCACTCGTCTGTGCACTGCCATAATCAGCTGTAGTTAATAGCTATCATAAAATAATAACGGTAGTATTCTTGTAATATTAATATTACAATGAGGGCATTCAGTAAATGTCATTTTGATTACATTTCAATTATTCAAAAATCTAGATTTAAATCCAACTATGCCAAGTGACTGAACTCAGTGGCTATAGAGGTGCATGTACACGGCGACAATAGTGACGGCTAGTGTAACTTTCAAATACTAACCACCACTATTTACCGTACTACTGGCCTCGTGTGTAGGCGCTACTTGCCACTAAAAGACCCAGTAACCCTTCACACGAGGTTAGTAGCCTTACGATTAGTGGCACTTAGTACCTGTAAGTTGTACTGACCCCTTGTACTTGCAAGTTGTACTGGCCCCTTGTACATGTAAGTTGTACTGGCTCCGTGTACAAGCACCGTGACGGGTGTGGGCTCACCTGCCTCCTGCAGCATAAGAGCGCCCCTCTGGATTTCCTCATCATTGTTACTACACTCAGGGGAAGGCGTGAGAATTTGTCCAAGAGATGCACTATTTGGCTTTATGTGGGTCAATATTTCGATACCCAGTTTGGCCCGGCGAATAGAATAGAATAGAATAGAAGTATCGGCACTGAAGAAATAGTCCCTTGGCCTGTTGCCGATTCTTGAATTTTTCGTGACTAGATTCACAAGGGATCCGGCTTTTGGAACCCGATCTTTCCATAACTGACGATTGATTGAGATAGCTGCTGGACTTATTGCAAGGCCCGCAAGTTGCTAGGCATTTTAAGACTGAACATATGCTCCTACATATCTTCGTCTAGTGCTCTAGCCTGTTCTTGAAGGCGTTCAAATGAGCGTATCAATGCTCCGTCTCTGCTCTGCTCGAGCTGAGGGTAAAAACGCGTCACTATTTAGACAGCAAGATACATACATTTTCCCGAAAATATTGTTAATATTATCATCCTTAATTATCGCTTTCATTAACATTGTAGGTCTTATTAGATTTACCATTACCTGTGTCTCGTCAGCACTGCCGTAGCCTGCGAACAGCAGGCAAGCAGCTACCAGCGTGCCTGTGCAAACGTAAGTTAGTCTCACAAGACTATTTAAAATTATAAATTATAGAATTGTAAGCAAGTATAACTTCTGAAACATATTTTCCCTATTCTGGTAACATTCTGGTCTTGATAAGCGCCAAATAAATGCAAAACATGCAGCTTGATTCAAAGAACACGTCGACTTTTTCTTTTTGAACACAATTTACACTTTTTAAAGAGAAAGTCACATTTTTACTTCTAAATCTAATTCTTCTCAGATTTTCAAAGTCACAGAATTCCATTAATAATAAATGTTTATAAATCATTATTATTTATATAAATTATGTTTATGGCAAAGCTTGTACCGAGTCCGGGGACGATGCTAAGACCGCAGCACAGCGCGGCCATGGCGACCGGCAGCACTGGGAGGGCGCGACGCAGGGCGCCCTGACGCTCCTTACTCGACACGATCTCCAGCTCCTGCCGCCCTCCCCCCACCGTCTCCACCACCACCTGCAGGGAGAGGAGGGAGATTAGCGTTAGAGTGATTATTATTGTGGCAAAATATATTTAATGAATACGACAGTGTACGAAAGTATGAACGAATAATACACAACAAAATTCACTATGACAGTTGTCCAAAGCAACTATTTTAGAAGATTATTTAACTTTAAATTCATTAAATAATTAAGAATTTTCAAACAAACTCTAGCTGTAAATCCTGACACGCGTGTGCCGTAAGCTCTCAACGATCGATACTCTGGACTCATTGCTTTGTTTCTGCCTTCCTGTACTGAGATTTTGAGCTCCAGAAACGCTATGTCAGACGTTTCTGATTAGAAAATCTAGAACTAAATCTTCCGCAGCTTGAAGATTAATTGTATGATTATACAGATAATTGTATGATCATATTAATATTATTGGAAATTGTATGATCTATAATCATATTTCCGTATGATTGCATCATTACTAATTTAATTTTGTTGGAGGCATAAAATAGAGGCAGAGTTGTCGAGGCCGTACAAATAAACCGTTCATCATCATCAAAACGATTAATATGATGCCCTTTATATACTTTAATTGACCTCTGATAGAGCTAACTCGTATCTATGATGATGGTACCGGTATAGGTTTCCGAAATTTGAAAGAAGAGGAAATATAATGGAAAATCTTCGGACAGACACATATGCAGATTAAATTTTCTCGATTCCAAAGAAAATCTTGAAATCCTGATTCCTCATACGTAATGAAATCTTAGTCAGAGGCTCGTATGCAAATTGCAATCAATCTACTGTGAACTGAAACCCGACAATATCGTATCGAAAATTGGTTGATATTTAAACGTGCTTCTTGAGTTTAACGACTAAAAAATTAAAAAAGCATTACAATGGGAATCGTGAAAATTATAGTACTACATAGTCCAGAAAAATACTTTGGATGTTCCGATGACGCAGTGAAATTTCTCGATGTATGAACAAATTATTGAGCTTTGTACAATACGTATGCTCTAGTTCTTTCCCGATTAAAAACTCCTCTGCTTACAAATTTCAAAATATTTCACTGGAAAATAATAAGCACGAGTGAAACTTTCGATAACACGAATGTTTTAAAATAAACGCGTTTGGTTCCACTCAGATTCGCTCACAATAACTTGGAATTAAAAATATACAAATTCAAAACATCCGAAAGATTTATAACAAAAGCGATACTGAAACTTGCAAATGAAAATCATCATTCACTAGACACGTTTAATTAAAAATCTTTTTATCTCCTAACACTCGAGAATTAAAACGCCAGAGCAACGTCGTAAGGAACGTCGGGCGCGAACGTGCTCTTCCTCCGAGCGCTCAACGCGATGTGGCTTCTCTCGCGCGGCGCAGGCCTGTCAGCTGTACTCTAGTCATCTCATTACGCAGCACTGAGTGTCATCTAGGCTTGACTTCGGCGGAGCACAGTGAGTAGTTATACTTCGTATGTATCTTAGCCTCCACTTGGACACCGGTCATCGTGTGCCCTCAGCCTCCATGTGGACTCCGGCCACCATGTGGACTTCGGCCTATCGTGTGCCCTCAGCCTCCATGTGGATTCCGGCCACCATGTGCCATCAGCCTCCATGTGAACTCCGGCCATCATGCGCCCTCAGCCTCCATATGGACTCTGGCCATCGTGTGCCCACAGCCTCCATGTGGACTCCGGCCATCATGTGCCTTCAGCCTCCATGTGGACTCCGGCCATCGTGTGCCCTCAGCCTCCACGTGGACTCCGGCCATCATGTGCCTTCAGCCTCCATGTGGACTCCGGCCATTGTGTGCCCTCAGCCTCCATATGGACTCCGGCCATCATGTGCCCTCAGCCTCCATGTGGACTCTGGCCACCATGTGCCCTCAGCCTCCATGTGGACTCTGGCCACCATGTGCCCTCAGCCTCCATGTAGG